TCAAATATTTGAATGTTTTTGAAGTTTGACCCCTCTCTCCCAATAAAAGGAAATATAATCCCATTTCTAAGACCGCACCAATAAACGTAAAGGCTAGAAGTGGTCATGACGGTCATGTAGTCTGCCAAAGATTTCTGCATCTAGCCCCAAAACTTGGGGTTGAACCTTTCTTTTTGAAAAACATCTAGTGTTGATTTAAAGACTTCACATGATGGCAAATTTCCCACCTCCCTTGGTAACCTGTTGTAATCGTCAATTATATGTGCTGTTTAAAAATTAGCATCTTTTGCCCCAGAAGTACCTAGATAGAGCCACAAAGATAAGAAGAAATACATAATAAAGGCTAGTTGACCTTCAGAAACTTTCAGACCATTCTTTTTTACAGTACAAAAATTTTATTTTTTTTTGTTAGGATAATTTAAAGTTTAAAACTGAAGTAGACATATTCATTTTACAAACAAGATATTCTTCAATAAGTAGGACCATTAAAAACAGTAAACAAAAAAAGCTATCTTTACAAAAAGCTCTGTGCATAGCAACTTCATACCGTATATAATAACTGACAAAGCAAAAAAAAACCAAAACAAAACAAAATAAATGAACTATACAATTGGAAGAAATTATTTTACAAAAGGGAGCGAACGGTCTTTTAAAACCATGCATATTGAAAATGTGCAAAGAAATAGGGAGAATAAAGATGCTATAACAAGATAAATAATGAAATAAAACATACTCTTTCAAAGTTATGATAAAATTTGTAACTACCTATCGCAACACTTGTCTTTCTAGTGTCAAAAAGGAAACTTGGTAGAGAATTCTTAAACAGCAATGACTAAAAAAAGGACTGATTAGTTTATTCCTTTTTTAAAAAAAAAATCCTTACACACCAATTTACACATTATTTTTTTTATTTTTTGCCACTGCCAAAGTCCTTGTTTTGTGATCAAGGAATTCTGGTTGTTTTTATTTACACATGTTTTTCCACATAAAGCTGCCAACAAGTTGAACAAGATGCTTTCCACGCATGAGCAAAATTCATATTCTAAATCATGGCTATGTTAATTTCATTACTTTTGGTCAGGTCAAATCAAGCTAAGACATCCTTTTTGTTCATTTTGTGGGCAGCTACATTCATATTTCTCTTTCTCTAGGTACTTGAGAGAGTCTTCTAGGGAGGTTTTCTTTAGGTCTAAATTGTACTCCTGACTTTCCAAGTAGCACGTGACTAGCAAATAGAGTCCATCAAAATAACTTTTTTTTAAAATGCCACAGGAATTTTGAAAATTTTAGAAACGTTTGTTTAAATGGTCTAATTTTTTTTTCTCTTTTCAAAATTGGCAGGATTTTTTTCAATATGTCTAAGATGACCAATCAAAAAAACACATTTTGAACAATTAGCAGGCTAGTATTTTCAAGAAATGTTTCCAATGAAAAGTTTTGAGCAACAGATGAAATTATGTAATTACAAAATTTCAATAGCTCTAACTAGCAAGCAGCTGCTTCCCAGCATATGGTCTAGAAATCCATATCCAGGATTTTCTTTGTGCACAAAAGTTTTAAGACTAGCTCTGTCTCCTTTTGACAGCAGAGATACCAATATTTGAAGGTAACCAATGGGAATTGTTGGAGAGGCAAAAACAGGGACATGCATCTTTATGCACTTTATGGAGCAAATGGACAAAATGAGACACTTCAGCATTTATGGGAGAGGCCCAGAATGACAGGTGGACAGTGAGGGGTGAAAAATACCCCCATGAGTTTCATCCATCTCTTGGCAATGTAGGGCCTGATTCACTGAAGTCAATGGGAGTCTTGACTCCAGTTCTTATAGCCCCTAATGCAAATTTTCTGTATATACAAGGGAGCCTCAAACATCAATTTGTAGCCTTCTAGTCTCATTATGATACTGATATCTCTGAGTATATAAACATTATTAGATTATTTGTGCTATATAACAGTCACCAGGCTAGTCAGATTGAGGGTGAATCTCAGTGAATTTATAAGAGTACAGACTTTCACTCAAGACTCCTTACCACATAAGGTCCTTTCACCTTCTTCTGCAGATCATTTGGTTTCAAGAAGAGTCACCTGTTCACTCCCAGATGTTGCTAAGGGCGCACAAAGGATCTGCAGAGGCATGAATTCTCACAACCACAGTTAATGGTAAGTTATCTTATTTTATCTTTTCTGGAATTCAGACATTTTATCTAGTCTAACTAAAGACTTTGGTTAACTCCATACTCATGATTCTGCTCCTGGAACACCAAATATCCCCAACCAATTATTTCCTGGAGGATACACTTAATTGCCACTTACGCTGCTCTTTAAATTGGGGCGTTGATTTTAAAAGCAAATAAATCCCTTTTCAAAGTGGATTTCATGCCAGTGAAAAAAGCACCTAACTGATCATCTATCAAACAGCCACAGCATGGTCAGCAGCAACACAAGCGTCTCCCTCCCCTGCCTCCCAGTTCTGTCCCACAGGGATCATTTGAGTTTCCTTGGCCTCTCTGCTAAACTGGGAGCTAATTAAGAGCCAGATCCTGCAAACACTTGGGCACATTCAGTAAAATATCTCACATAAGCCCTGATCCTGCACTACACCCCTTGAAGACGGAGCCTCACACAGGTTCAACTCTGGTGCAGCACAATGCAGGATCAGAGCGGTAACTAATCCATCCCATTGTCTCCATTGGGATTATTTACATCAGTAAAGTTACCCAGGTGTCTGCTTGTAAGGATATGGTCCTATAATGCTGGTTCTTGAGATGGAAACATCTGTCCACTAGAGGCTAGACGAAGATCTATGAAGTCAGGGGACACAGCAGCTTTCAGTCACAAATAACCTGTGCTAGATTTGAGGCTTTATACCCTATTACTAATCCACTCCCAAAATAGAAATACACATTAGTTCAGCACTGCCAAAGTGTCATGAATGTTGACTCACTCCCTTTCTACCATGATCACAGAATAAACTAATAATTTACTCACCCATCAAACACAATGATTCTCCTTGGCGAATGGGCAAATTGGATGTTGGGTGTTGCTTTATCTTAAGGGTGCATTTATAAATAGTTAAATAAATTCTTAATAGATGTTATAAGAATGTTACAACCATATGTAGTGTGTGTTAGAGATATTTATAAGAAGAGCTGGTTGAAAACCTTTCTATGAAAAATGTCTCTTCAACTAAATGGAAATTTTCATGACTGTTTTTTCATTTTTCATCAGGAAACCAAAACACTCATTGGTGTGGCTTTTCCCCCTCCCCTTGTGCTTCCTTTCTTCTTTTTTTCCATTTTGAAACAGAAAATGGAAAAAGAAACAAGTAAAATTTTTCTTTTTTGTTTCTTTGTTGAAATGCTGAAAATTTTGAACCAAACAAATTTGGTGGGTTTTTCTTTCTATTAAAAATACTTAGCATTGTTTGACTACTGCTAGCTCTAGTTATAAGAACATCAGTGGAAGATGGCAAAAATAACCTATTGGATTGCACAACCATTGAATGACCATTTACTGAAATGTATTAATCATTAAGTACACTAAAGACTATGAAGCATTTTCCAATTTACTGATGAAAAGTGCTATATCAGAGTTAGGTGGTATTATTAATTATTATTGTTATTACATAACCCTTTATGACTGCACCCTTAATATAAAATGTAATCCTATTTTGTAACTCTACCATAACTTCATGGAAAACAATCATTTAGAGAACTTTCCGATCCCCCCTCCTGTCCATGTGAGAATTTGAAAAATAAACTCATCATCACATGAAAACCTGATTTGTTCAAACACTGAGGCCTGGTCTACACTGTGAGGGATCGATCTAAGTTACGCAACTTCAGCTATGTGAATAACGTAGCTGAAGTCGATGTACTCAGATCTACTCATCGCAGTGTCTTCACTGCGGTAGGTCGACTGCTGACACTCCCCCCATCAACTCTGCCTACGCTTCTCACTCCGGTGGAATACTGGAGTCGACGGGAGAGCGCTCGGCGGCCGATTTATCGCGTCTTCACTAGACACGATAAATCGACCCCTGCTGGATCGATTGCTCCGGAGGTAAGTGTAGACATGCCCTTAGAAGCCATTCATTTACCAATAGGGTCTTTGAAACTAACCACATTATCCCAGTACCTGAAAATCTTAAGTGAAGCAAAAGATGGCGAAGGAGGGAAAAGATGTGGATAAAATTCTTACATTAACTACTGGTTTATATATATATACTGTAATGTGTATAAAAGTTTGTGATGAGTTAATCGGAAAGAATCCTATACATCCTTGCACATAGTTCAACAGAGGGCGAGGGAGAGAAGTAGCAACGGCAGCAATAATAGTACGTCTCTTAAACTTGTCACTACATTTTTGCATCTTTTTTCTTCATTGTACAACAGGAGGAAAAAGTCCAAAAAAGGTCTTAATTGCTACCTCTACATACAATAAGTTACAAGTTTATTTAAATAATTGTAAAACATCTTACATTTTTTTAAAGAGGTTAAACTATAAGTAAACACACACATACACCAAAAGTTCCATCATTCATGTCAATTTGTCCTAGAAATTCTTCCATGCTGGTACCCTGTTTTGTTGTTTGTTTGTTTTTCTGCATAAACTAAATTGGTATCTGAAAGGCTCCATAGAAAATAGAAACTTCAACTTTTTTCCCCTACAAAGTAAAACAAATAGTATCCAAAATATCAAGCTTGAATCATTTGCCAATTTTTTTTCCTTTTCATATTTTACAAACATTAGGAAGGTTTCGTGTCCATCAAAAAAGACCTTGTGTTTCTGACCCCATCATGCCAACCGCTGTCCATCCTGGCTCTTGGCTGATTCTTTGTTTGCAATGTTTTAGGAGTTGACATGGCTACATAAGAAACATGGAACACGTAAAAGATCCAGACTCCTATCTTGTCTGATTTGTAGCAGTTCTTCCTTTTTATTTTTTCCGGGCGTGGCTTCCCCCCCCCAAAAAGAGCTTGTAGTGCTTTTTTTTCTTTTCTTTTTAGTGGTCCATCACAATAAGTAGTTTTGTGCTGTAAAAGAAAAATGAAAAACAAAACAAAAGCAAAACGTCCTCTTCTTTTACATCGGGGGAACGACAAGACCAGTCATGGCTGAAAATGAAGATTGACAAGGTTGAAACTTTGGCGGCTCTTTTATGAATGCAAAATAGTGAGCCATGCCTTAATAGAGAAATTGACATGTGAGCCGCTTCCTCTCCCACCTGTGATCAAATATCCCCATGGCAACTATCTGTGGAAAAGTAATACTAGGCAAGTTTATTAGTTATAGAGTTTAAGGCCAGGAGGGACCACCAGATCATCGCATCCGATCTCCTGTGTATCACAGGCCATCAACCCCACCCAGCACCCGCACACTAAACCCAACAATTGAAATTAGACCCAAGTATTGCAGCCCACAGGAGACTAAACTATTATGTGCCATAGGCAGAGAATAGGAGGGACTGAGGTGCACCAGTGCCCAAGGCCCGCACTGACCCTTCAGCTTCTTTTAGCACCAGTTAGCAGCTTGAAAAGAGGAACTAGCATCATGTGACCCAACCAGCTTGCCACAAGTGACGAATGAACCACTCGTTTAGAATAAACTCCTCCAAAAGTTCTTGCCTTCTGATGTTGCTTGTTGGCTAAATGAAGTGAGTTGGTGGCTTCAGCACCGTGCCCAGCTTGAGATGCCTTCAAATGGCCTGATTTTCATAGGGTGGGTGCTCAGCACTCCCTGAAAATCAGCCCCCTTTCGGGTGTCTGAAGTTGGGGCCCCGAAATCACTAATCACTTCTCAAAATGTAGGCTCCAGTGTCAAAACATACCACGACCACCAGGTCCCTGGGTGAGCAGTCACAGCAGAGTGGCCAAAGGTGGACTACACATGAAAACAACCCCGCTTCCAGCTCCCAAGAGGTGGCCCCTCCAGAACGGGGGTCATACATCATAGTAGGGTAACTTGGAGGAAGTTTGCACTGCCACTTCCCATCCTGTTTTCCTTCTGTGCATGAGTCACAAGGTTTTGTCTCCAGGGCTGTCAATCCAGCTCCTTTCCTCTGCACTACACTAAAGATAACTCCCCATCTCCCCCCTAAACCCTAGTGAGGCAGAGAATGAGTTCTCATGCCTTGACTTTAATTATTTATTTTGAATTAGTGCTGTATAAACTGCTTACTTTAAAAAAAATGATTTCCTTTTAAGGGTGCCTAGTCCGATGATGATGCTTAGGAATGAATATTGGCTTATTGAGAGGGAGGTCATCCATCTATGTTAGAGTTTTATACAGCAGCCCATCACCGTAGTATCTGCTTTTACACAAAAAGTACTCAATGTCCTTAGTAGAGTTCCGTAATGTCTGGCGCTTCTCTCTTTTTGGGGGTCAAAACTCTGCTTGGGTCCTCCATTCTCCTTCCCCAACTCCCCAGCTTTAAATGTCTCACTTGCAGAAATGGTTAGGCTGTGACTGGGCAGTGGTAACATGGAATCAAATGGGAGCCAAGCACTTACAGGATCTGGGCCAAGGGTTGCATTTCCCAATTCATCTGAGAGTGACCAGAACCAGGTTTTGTTCATTTAGCTTCCGTAGAAATTACACCCCAGCCTCTCTTTCACTTGGTTTACCCCCTTTCTCTGAATTGCTGTAGTTTACCGGGCACATTCCCAGAACATTGGACACATGTAAATTATTTACTAGTCACTCTCACTGGCTTTAATTGCAGCTGTATCTTTCCTAACAGACAACCGGAGTATTTTAAGCTGCCCGGAATTGGGACTGTTCCCAAAGGCTTCATTGGGTAAGTTTTTTGTTTTGTTTATATATAATTAAAACAAAAGCTAGTAGGTCATATTTTCAAAGGGACCTGGTTTCAGTGTAAAGCCCTAATCCTACAAAGATTTATGCCGATTGAAATCAGTCAGATTATTCATGTACTTAAAGTCCTGTCTTTGCAAAGCCTTGAATTTCACCCTTATGTTTGTGTTAAAGTAAACTGCAGGAATAGGGTCAGATCTTCAGCTGGCATAACTCCATTTTTTCTTTAGTGGAGCTACCTTGATTTCAAGCAGCTGGCGATCTGGCCCACAACTGGGATCATTTAGCATTATATGTAAATAAATGTTTTTGTGTTCAGAAATGATGATGAGGAATAAAGCTACCCTGCAATTTTAGGGCACAGAGCCAGAAAGAGAGAGTGAAACTGACCAGTCTAGATTAATTGTCGGTGCTGAGTGAAATTCTTTTTTTTTTTTTAAACTTGCCTAAGAATTCCTTGTTTGCAGTGCTGTTGTAGCCATCTTCGTCCCAGGATATTAATGAGACAAGTGCGTGACGTAATATCTTTTACTGGACCAACTTCTGTTGGTAAGAGAGAGAAGCTTTCTAGCTACATAGAATTCTTCTTCAGGTCTGGGAAAGGTACTCTGGGTATGTCTACACGTAAACCACTACAGCGGTGCTACACCTGCACTGCTGTGGCGCTTAAGGGCTTATCTATGCCACAGAGCTCCACCACTGCAGCTGTAGCACTTCAACGTAGACCCAACTTAGGCCAATGGGAGGGGATCTCCTGTCAGTGCAGGTAATCCACCTCCCTGACCTAGCGCTGTCTATGCTGGGGGTTAGGGGGGTTAGGTCAGCTTAACTACATTGGTCAGGCATGTGAATTTTTCACACCCTTGACCATGGTAGCTATGCTGCTGTAAGTTCTCAGTGTGTCACAGCTAAATACAAGGTGGAACAGTTTGGTTAGTGTAAGCAATTAACAAACATTCTAAGAGACCATTCAAGGTGAAATGGCCCGTTAACACCTCTGCAGTCACAGGACAAAAAAAAGAGGAGATAGTGGGTTATAGATTGTTATAATAAGCCATAAATCCAGTGTCTTTGCAAGACACTAAAAATCATCTGAATAAAGTTATGAATTTATGCTCCCAGGCTCTTTCTTTGGGTAGGTGTTGTGCAGGTTTCCTTTGAGGACAAGGACTGAGAGGTCACATATGGAGTGATTGTTTTGTGAAAAATGTTCGCTCATGAGCGATAGGGTGTTTTTGCCTTTCATCATTTTTTTGCGTGAGTTCACATGAGAGTGTCATGATTGTCTGGTTTCTCCCACATCGCTGTGACTGGGCATTCAGTGCAATAGAGGTGGTCCACCACATATTGTGACAGGCATCTGTAGGACCTATGGATCCACAAGTTGGTCCAATAAAAGACATGATCTCCCCCACCTTGCGTCTCTAAGAATTCCTTAGCATTTTTCATGCAAGGATCTTAAAAGCAATTTACAAGTCATGTAGGTAGGTAGTTTTATTCCTACATTACAGTAAGGGAGACCAAGCCACTAAAAGGTGAAGTGACCATTTCTGTTAATGCTCATGATGTGTTAAGATATTTCCCACCCCAAAAAAGGTGGTGTGATCCTTGTTCTATGGGCTGCCAAAGGATGGTTAGTGCCACAGCTTGAAACAGACTCCAGACAGTGTGCTTCCCTGTGCATTAATAAGTCCCTTCTCCTCCTCCTGTAGAGAAAAGAAACACAGCTGGGGCATGTCTGCACACACAAGTGGCACTGGTTAAACTAATGTAAGAGGGGCTGTAGACAAAGCTTTGCTGGTTTAGTTAAACTGATGCAACTTTGGGTGGGAACCAGGCCCTGGATTCTTTTTAAGGTGGGAGAGTTGTCCGAATGATTATATTGACTAAATTCATTACTGTTTTAATTAAAAAAAAGAGAGGCCGTACAGTCCAGTGGATTGGGCTGATATTCTTACAGATAAAAAAGGCAGCGATACCAATTAGACTCATTTCTCCTAGTGCTGGGCTGAGCTCTAATCACCCCTGACACTGCCATCTGAATACTGCACCTCCAGCTGTTCCTGTGGCAATGAGTAAGTAGATTAAAGAATATTTTCTACACCTCCCCTCCCCCCCCCCATGTGCACACACTTCTTCCCACAGCTCATGTAAACGGCTTGGATCTGCTGCTCTTTCCTCTGCCCCACCCTCTTCCCCCCCACTTCCCTTTGGGGTTGTGCTGTCAAAAGCCTATTTCCCAGCCTGTACCACTTTTTATTGAATGTTTGTGAGGTTTGGATTAAGGTCTTACACTGCTAGCAAAGCTGTAATTATTTTTGCCTGTATTACTATATATTGAATCGATGTAACTTTTCAATAAAGGTGGTTCAATGCAGGACACTCCCTGATGGGTTGGGAATATAGAAAGCACAGTCATTATCCCAGAGGGTTTTTTTTATTTCTTGGAGGGAAATGGAAAAAGAATTAGAGATGAGCCTTACTGTATTAGCCTTGACAGTTTGCAATTATCAACTGAAACACTTGATTAAAATTGTCACAAGGTTGGAGAATTTTATATATATATCAAACACAAATAACACCCAGATACTATGGTGATAGGCTTCTTTGGTGTGTGTAATTTATAATAATAATAGACACTACACAGCAATGGACCCTTTAAATTTCTTCCTGCCTTGTAGGGAAAAGAACTCCGTGTTACTCATGGAATTCACCTAGCTGGCTAGGAAGAATTTTAAAGAGGCAGGGTATTATAGTAATGTAACCTCACATGCAGTGAACCAGATTTTCAAAAACAACTGGTGATTTTTAGGTGGCCAACTTGAAACCCCTTTAAAGGGGCAGGTGTTGAGCCCTTTCTGAAAAACTGACCCATAAGATATATCAAGTTAGGCACCCACAATCTCTAGGCATCTGAAAATAAGTGTAAGTGTGTGTGTGTAGCCATGTGTATAGAGACCCATTTCATGGACATGGTATTTCAGAAGTGCTAAGCACTCAGTTAACTCAATGAGAGTTATAGGCTCATCACCTATAAAAATCAGAGACAAGGGGGACAAGACCTGGGATGTGTGGGGGATGCTGCTGGGTAGCGGCAGGTGGGTGGAGGACAGAGAGAGGCTGGGGATCTTGACAGGTTGCCCAGGCAACTTTAATTCTGGCACGTCTTAATTTTTGGGTACTTGATTTTGCAACTTTAACGTTCTACTAACTCCGTTTTTTGGATGTTATATATACATTTACTCTTATTTAAATATTAAATGCTTTTTTTTACATCCCGCCCCAGCCTTTTTTGCAGTTA